CCTGTCAGTTCTCCGTGTTCCCGGTGTCTGTGATCCACCAGTCACACACTTATGCTGGGCAGAGTAGGGAGTGCGGCCCTGCTGTTCACACGTACTGCCGGCCTGAGCAAACCACCTGCACAGCGTCTTGGGGGCCATGTGCACTAGAAAAACCAGTACCTATATCGCAGCACCTGCGCTAACCCGCGAGCATTAAACAGGGCTGGGCGGAGGCACGGGACTGCGATGCCACAGCGCTCTGTCTACACTGAGCGCCAGTGCAGCTGCCCTGTTGCTGTGAGACAGGCTCTCAGCCTCCTAGTATAGACAAGATCCTTGGTCGGTCACGGAGAGGGAGTGGAAGAGATGAACTCCCTTCCCTGGCTCAGATGAGAAGAGCCGTGTGTAGCTGGGCAGGGGGCAGAGGGTGTGAGCTGCGCTGCCGATCATGGCGAAGGAGCATCAGATGCTTGAGCTCTGTGCTGGTGGGAGCCCCCCGTTGCCCAGCTGACAGACTGATCCGCTGCCCTGACACACACACACACACACACCCCTCTCCAGGAGTTGGATTAGGGTTTCCTCGCCAATCCACCTACCAGGCCAGGGGTGACTCTTCCATGTCATTCCCTCCTTTTTCCACGAGAGGGCGCGCTAGGTCACCTTGCTAGCACTGCAGGGACTAGCCTGGGTGAGCGGGGAGCATGTATTCACGGCCCTGCTAGTGCCCTGCCACGCGGCGGGGTGGGAATGCTCCACTCACTGCCCGGGGGAGAAGTGGGGGGCCTGGCCCTGAGACCTGTTGCTGTGTCCGGCTGAGCAAAACGCGAGGCAAACTGCTACACAGAGAAAGTACAGGTGCGTTTCCAAGCCCAGGGCTGGCTCCGCCCAGGGTGTAGATCAGTTCGGCTCCATTGCCTTCCATGGAGCCACCAGCCGAGGATGTGGCCCGTCCCACGTGGCTGTGTGAAGCGAGAAGGGCTCACTGAGACCCCTCCAAGTTAGAGAGCAGAGAGCTCTGGTCCCCCCGAGTCCATATCTCAGGGGCCAGGCCGGATATTTCCCTGCCGTACAGGTTGGCGGATGTCTGGCCCCCGGGGGCAGGGCAAGGAGGGCTTGGGACGGCGAGAAAGAAAACGTGCAGTGGTGGAAATAGTCTGATGAGGTCTTAACCCAGCAGGGAATTGAGGACTCCGCAGAGCCAGGCCTGTGACGCTCCCCTTGGGGAGCACCTCCGGCTCCCCTGGCTAAACCGTCTCCGGGGCTCCCTGGGCTGTTGTGTGAAACGCTTCTGAGGCCTCTTCCAGCCCTGGCACTGGGGTCCAGAGCACGGGGCTTTCCCTGCCTGAGCAGAGCACGCACAGGGTCCCCACCCTCCCCTTGAGTCTCACCGGCCGGGGGGTTTTCCCTTCCCAGATGGCTCTTTACTTCTGCGCTGGCGTCCTGGAAGACGAGACCCTCTTCCGCCACTACGCCCTGAATGTGCCGCTCTACACCCACTTCACCTCGCCCATCCGCCGCTTTGCTGACATCCTCGTGCACCGGCTCCTCTCCGCCTCCCTGGGTAGGTGCCTGAAGGGGGCTGCCCTCGGCCGCCCGATCAGGGCTAGTGGAGTCACAGACTGAGAGGCTGCTGCCAGGAGCCTCACGGCTGGGAAGGGAAGATACGAGGGAGGAGGTGTCAGGACTCCTGGGTTCTGCTGTGGATTTGGACAGACCCTGTATGGGCATGGACAGGTCCCTGGCCCCTCTGCTCACTGCAGCCGTGTCTATAATTCTCCAGCCTCGGACCAGGCCCCCACTCTCTTGCTGTTCAGCGGGCTCTGGGGATCTGCCCTCCCGTGAAGCGGGGCAGGGGGAGTGTAGCTACCTTAGCAGGCTCTGCCTGTCCAGTGGGGATTCCAGTTGGGAGCTGCTCAGAGATCCTGGGGCACACCTCTGGGGAATGCCAGACTCCTGGTGCCCTAGGGTGAGTGTTGTCCCCACCAGGCCCCTTACCACCAGTCGTTGTGGCTTGTTTCCCTCCCAGGCTCGGGGCGCCCGGTCCAGATGAGAAAGGAGGCCATCCAGAAGCAAGCGGACCACTGCAATGACCGGAAAATGGCTTCCAAGAGGGTGCAGGAGCTCAGCGCTGACCTGTTCTTCGCCATCTTCGTCAGGGTGAGAGCACAGCCACCGTGATGCTAAACGAGCTGGCGCTGGGAGCGGGGCCTGGAGCTCTCCTTTCGGCCCTCGGGCATCGAGATGATGCCTTGGTTCCCTTTGGGGGGCGGTCTCTCAAGAACACCCTGGCACTGAAATCTCCCCTCCCCCCCCATCAGGTGACCCTGTCCTATGGGGCAGGGCTTGCTCTGGAGATGGCCCCTGGCCTGATCAGCCACTGGCTCTCCTCCCTCTTGTGCCCCACAAGGAGCAAGTGCTGCTTCTGGCTTCAGTGCTGCTGATGTTTCTCCCTGTCTTGTCCTAATAGGGCCATGGGCCCCGTGGCCTCTTCCCTGGGGCGGCTGTTCAGAGTCCAAGCAGGGTCTATGTAGGTGACCGTGCTTCCCACAGCACTGGAGGGCTCGACAGTCCCTCCCAGCTAGTTCTTAGGAGTGCTACAGTCCATGGGGTGTCCCGGCGACTGGTACCCCGTGGGGCTGGCTGGCACCCTGGTCGGGACTGGGGAGAGGATCCGCTGTGCTCCATAGCGACTGGGGAGAGGGAGCGTTACATCCCAGCAGAGGAGCAATTTACAAACTGCCTGGGCGCTGCCCAGGTGGGCAGAGAGTTGTGGGACACTGGGATGGTCTCTGGGCGGGAGCCCTCCTTGGGAGGATCTCACTCGTGACCGTGCTTTGTGTTGGCAGGAGTGCGGCCCGCTGGAGTCAGAGGCAATGGTGATGGGCGTCCTGAACAAGGCCTTCGACGTCCTGGTGCTGAGATTCGGAGTTCAGAAACGCATCTACTGTAACGTACGTGCCCTTGAGCACCGGGTCGACCTTCGGCTGGCCCTTCCGTTAATCCTCCCTACCTCGCACCCGGGCTGCTCTGCTGGGTAGTAACGGCTGGAGTGCTGGTCGAGGCCCTTCTGTATCCTCTAGCCGGGCGGTGCCAAGTACCCACTGGCAATTCGACACCGCACTGCCACCACCAGAGCTGCCCTGGGGCCAAGTGCAACTGGGGAAGACCACAAGGGAGGGGAGGGGAGGGTGTCTTCACTGCACAGGGAACCCAAGTGAGGCGGGTTAGTCTTGCCAGGGGGTGTGCGTCCCCATAGATGCTGCCTCCTCACTCTTTCTGCACTCGCCTCTGTGCGTCCAGGGTCACAGCCCCTGGTTCTCTGTGCTGAGCCGCTCTAGGATTCTTCCCACTCAGGTGTGTCAGTTGCTGGAGAACGGCTCTGTCCTTCAGGGGGAATTGTGGGAAGGCACTGGAGGACTATTACCACTCAAGTGAGTCTGCCTGGATCCTCCCTGCAAAATGGGTCATTCCAGCCCGGTTAAATCGAAGCCTAGTTTCTAACCGGTCCTCCCCAGACGGGTCAGTTTGCCTGGGCTTAATGCACCTCCAAACCTGGGTCAGAGGGGTTTGTGTGAGGGGCAGGTAAGCACCTGGGTTAACTGCGCAGTGAAGACAGACCCTAAAGAGCAGTGTAGGTCAGGCTGCAGAGGACGGCCCTACCCAGTGGGATGGTGCAGAGCCAGTGTTTGGCTGGGTGTTCGCTCTAATAGGTTTAGCGCCATTTCAACCGTAACCGTCTTGTAACAAAATAGTGCGAGATGGACTGTAACTTGCGGTGTACTCGAGTGCCTCCAAACAAGACCTTGACAGGAGGCTCACCTCACGCTCCTAGTCTCCTGCAGCTCTGTCTGGGGGTTCCCCTTAGACCCCCAAAGCCCCCAGGCAGGACAAGAGCAGAAGCGAAGGAAGCCAGAAGGTTCCGTAGCGTGTTCGCTTTTGTTAGAAGTGATTTCATGTTTTCCACTCCTCTGCTTCACGGTTGTGCGTGCCAGAAATGGGTAACGATTCACTAGGAAAAGTGAAATGAAACCAGGGCTTGTGGTCCGGAGGTCAGGTTGGGGCTGAACTGGGGAAGCAGTTGGTTTTAACTGCATTTGATCACATCATAAATCTGGGACCATTTGGAAGCGGTTTGCTGTAGTCTAGCACCTGCAGTTAGTGACAGCTCTATTGCTGACAATGGCATCTTGACATGGAATGTACGGAGTGATATACAGCCTGTGTGTGGGTGGATTCCAGCCGTACTTCATTTCCACCGGCATCTCGTGGGAGGTTACAGAGCTGGGGGCGCTTTACACAGGGTACTGGACAAAAAGACCTTGGCAGTCCTTTACACGCCGGGGGGAGATGGTAATAGTGTCTTGCTAAGCAGGGTCCAGTGAAGCCAGCGGATCTAGTCGCAGGATTGTGGGAGCAGCCAGATTCCTTACCCGTCCGAGGAGGGGCCAGAAACCAGGGGTGGGGGACAGAATTCCTTGGGTTCCAGCGCCGCTCCTGGAAGTCAGTGCTTTCCCCAACGTGCGGTCTGTTCTGCAGGCTCTGCCGCTGACCGGAGTCCGCTTTGAGAAGGTGGGGAAGAAGCCTGAACTAACTCTCCTGTGGGAGCCGGAGACCCCAGAGCAGGAAGCTGCCCCTCAGGTAAAGCCCACACCAATGGCTCAGTGCATCAGCACTGCCTAGACCTTGTCTGCCTCCCCACCCACCAGGCTCTCCACTGGGCTCAGGGCCAGATTTCCAGTGAGGTGCAGTAGGCACATGGCTGGGGACGCCTTACCTCTCTAAAACGTGCCACACGAAAGTCAGCTGGGGGCGGGAGGGACTGGAGATGCTGCGCCTCGGGGCGCGTAAGTGTAAATCCGGCCCTGGCTGGGCACGGGGTTCTCGTAGTCCCTGCCAGTCTCGGCCCCAGCCCACCGCTCTAATCCCTGCAGTAGACAGTGTTTCTGCAGGCTCCTGGCCTCCCTCAGGCTGCATCCTCCCGTTACATCCCGGCATTCTGGCTTCTGTTTCCCCAAGTGGCCACCCTCTTCTCTGGTTCATTCCCATTACTGCCTGGCTTTCTAGCCTCTCTGCCTCCAGAGGTGCTGGAATCCGGGGTGCTGCGGGGGGGGACTGCTGCTCCCCCTGGCTTGAGGGGGTTTCCCTTGCATGCAGGGTTGGGTCAATGGCTCTCAGCACCCCCACTACACAAATTGTTCCAGCCCCTGACACACACACACACACCCTGGCCAGCAGCCCTTTGGATCCTCTGCCCTCCCTGCTGTGTGCCATGTCTCCCGCTTCTGTGGCCTCTATGAATGTAATTAACGTGCTGTTTACTGCTCGTCTAGATCGTTAATTAAGATGTTAAGCAAGATTGGGTCTGCCTGTGCCTCTGGCTAGATACCTTCCCCACCTCATTGCTCTGGCCTTTATCATTCCCCTTCTGCGGGACTTTTCAGGCAGCTTTCAGCCCATGTGGCAGGCAGCGCTCAGATCCAATTAGAACCAATGTTTCAAGTCCGATTTCCCCAGACATGGTGTTAATGCTTTAATAGAGTTGAGAAATCGGTCTCCTGTGTCCCCATCAGCTATTAAGGCAGTAACTCAATCAAGGGGATTGATTGCATTTGTCTGGCTTGATTAAGTACTTACCTTGATGCCAAACAAAAGTTGGCAACACTTTAAAATAATGGTCTAGTTGATTGCCTTGAAATTCCCAGGGATGAATCCCTATCCCCTGGCTGAGGCTTGATCTGCACTTAAAATCCTCCGCCAGTCAGGGGTGTGAAAAATCCACACACACCCGCCCCCCCTCCAGCACCAGAGCTCTGCAGACCTAGCCCCCCCCCCCCACTCCTCCGGAGACTCAGCCCTGTTGACAGACCAATGCTTCTGTCAATGTAGCTACCATCTTGGGGAGGTGGTGGTCCTACCCCCCTTCCGTCGGTGTAGGCTCTGGCTACGCTCCAGGGTTACCCTGGATCCTGCGACGTAGGCACGCCGGGAGAGTAAGCTGCTTCAGGCTCTCCCACGGCCGCGCGCTCCCTTTAAAGCTGACTTGGCTGGGGAAGGGCCCTGGAACCCGCCCCGCGTGGCCCCAGTTCATCCTGTCGTACAGGAGCTGGGATCACTTACACACTTGCCGGGAGCAGCATGAAAAATGACTGCCCAGCGTGAGCAGAGCCCAGCCCCGGGGCTAATCATTTTTGGAAAGTAAACATTCAGCCATGGAGGAAACTCCTCCACGAATCTCCCCCGCCTCCTAAGCAAACACCCCCGCTGGGATTGCTCCTTCCAAGTCAAGAGATCCCTTTGTCAATAAATCTCTAACCCCTGGAACCGCTGCGGCCTTCCCAGAGCTTTGCTGAAGCAGCAAGAAGCAATGTCACCCTGACATGCACCCTCCTGGAGCACAGACTCTTCTCCCCGTCACGCCCCGGCGTTCGCCTGCGGGGCCAGGCAGCACCACCCCCTCAGCCAGGCTCTGCACGGCGGGAGGGGCCTTGCGCGCCTTTGCAAGGCTTGGCGGCGGCCTCTTGGTTTGGCTGAGCCCAGCCGGGGAGGGAGAACATCTGTAAAGGCTGTTTGCAAAATAGGTTAAACGTGCAGAGGCCGGGCGGCTGCTGGGCTCAGCCCCGTCTCTGGTGCTGATGGGGAGCCAGACTCCTAGGGGGTTCCAGCGGCACCCTCCCCCTCCACTGCGTAACTTTGGTAACGGCAGCAAAACTAAGGGGTGAATTGCCCTATGCCAGCCTCCTGGTACAGCCGGGGGGCAGCCAGCCTGTGCCCCTGTCCGGCTGGTTTTACTGCTTCAGCTCAATGAAAGGAGGGAAATGACAGCTCCAGTGTCCGCTGGCCAGCATAGGAGTACAGGATACAGGAACCTGAGTGGCGAACCCGAGTTAAGAACACACCTTTTTTTCCCCATGTAGCCGTACCCTAACTCTCCAGTCGATCCCCCCCGCCTAGCCAGGGCCTAGGCCGCTGGAACTGTTGCCGTTTGGCGATTTGCTGGGGCTGAACAAGTTACTGTATACAGTAGAACAGTGACCAGGAAAAGTGTGTGACGGCTCCAGTGATCACCACCACAGTCCCAATGCCATCGCTGGAGCTCTTCCCAGCAGTGAGCCTGGGCCTGCTTGTGGGGCTGGGACCAGATCGGCGGCTGCTGTCAGGCGTCTCGGCTCCATTGAAATAACTGAAGTCCATAGAACTACAACGCTGACAGACACCCAGGGAGGCGCACCAGACACTTGAACGACTCTGCCCATCCGTGGGGTCCTTCGGGCTGTCAGTCGGCTGGGCCCTGCTGACAGCGAACCTTCCACTAACGAGATGTTTCAAAAGTTAAATCTCGTTAAACAAGAGAGTTTAATTTTGATTCTGGTCACACCCAAGCTGCATAAAAAGGATTGGCTAAAAGAGGAAGGCAGGTTGCTCTGGGATTGATTGTCCAGGGTCTATATTTCCTTCTGTAACTAGTACAGTCAGTTCCATTCTGAAGTCTGCTCTGATATGCTGAATGTACAAGCCGGCGTTGTCTTACTGAGGGAATGTGGCTGTGTTAGATCCGTCTGATACCTACGCACCGGGCATGCCGACTGTCCTGCTGGCCAAGGCTCTGGGGCAGAGCACGAAGGGGCAGCAGGTTCGGACCGTGCCACCTGCTAGTCCGAGATTGAAACCAGATTACACCATGGTGTGGGGATGAACAAAGCCACCTGGGTCAGGCCCCTGGGCTGGGACGGCCCCGTCATGTTTCAGTGTGTTTCCAGTCTAGCTGAGTTCTCATCGCTGTGTTCGGTGGGGTACGTGTCAGTGAGCTGGCTGACTTGGTGCCTGGAATCCAGATCGCAGCAGTGAGCAGGGAGCTGCTAATTAGCAGCAGCTTCTGGTTTCACAGGCACCAAATCAGCAACTCCTCCCGGTCCTTCTCCAGCCTGCCATGCTGAGGGACCTGGAGCCTCCCCAGGCCACACCTCCCCATTAAAGCTGAGCCTTCTCAGACCTTCTCCAGCCCCTCAGACTCCCAGCGGGTTGTCAGTGCGGGCCCTTGGTTGGGTAAATACGGGCAGCTTGCACGGCCCCTGGAGCAGCAGCAGCCCTAGACTAACGCGTTGTTGGAAGCCAGCTAACCTGGGGTCCCCTTTGTCTTTTCTCCCTGGCCAAAGGTGATCACCATCTTCACCTTGGTGGAGGTCGTCCTGACGTCCGACAGCGGCCCCCTGAAGTACAGCGCGGTGCTCAAGAGACCGGGCCGGGAGAAGTGAGCGCCGCGGGCTCCGTCGCCTGCCACCCCGCCATGCCGCCAGACTCCTCTGGTCCCGCCAGGCCTTACACTGCCCTCCCCTAGCTCCGCGGGGGTGGGGGAGGGAACTTTTTAAATTAATTCAGTTTTACTTCCGGTTTGGATTTTAACCTGGGTGGCGGGGGGAGCTCGGGTCTTTCCTGGCTGAGATCGTTGAAGCTGCAGGAACATTAACGCTGTTTCTAAAATAGTTTTTAGTCCTTTTTTTTTTTTTTTAATTGCTGCTGACTGCCCCTCCCCCGCCGCCCGAGCCAGCCTCTTGGAGGGGTTGCTGCTGTCCCTGGTGCTTTGGGCCGTTCTGGACGTGGGAGAACCAGGGGGCCACCGACCGGTTTCTTGCTGAATTCTGCATCCCGTAATAAAGCTCTGGCCAGCGATGGAATGTGTGTGGCGTTTATTTGGTCTCCCCCGGATTCCAAGGGCGGGAATCCTGGGCAATCGCTCCTCTTCCCGGCAGGCTCAGGCCATTCTGCGCTTGCTGTTTCTCAGCACGTTGTGAAATTCAAGATCACGCAGCAGCTAGATCGTCTGCGTTTCCCGCTCGGGCGGTACTTGCACAACAGACGAGTGGGGGGATGAGGGATGTTTGCTCTTGGCTATCGCAGTCGGTTTGTTCATCTTTCGGTCTGCGTGTTTCACGGGAGCCTTTGGCTTTCTGAGCCAACTGCTGGCACGGTGCCCCAGGGTAATCCTCTGTCCAGAGATGCCCGGGACTCTCCTGCTGGAGATGATGCTGTTTCCGGGGGTGAGGGTCAAGGTCAATCCAAAGGAGCGTGGGGAAAAGCTGCACAGGTGGAGAGCACCTGTCTGTGTCAAATTCAGCAGGCCCCACCCAGAGCCGCTTGGGATATTGCGAAGGAGACGCAGGCCCCGTCCCTCCTCTTCCCTTCCCAGTCAGCCGTCCTGCTATGGACAGCAAGTGCCAGACCGCCCGGTGCCTCTGAGCCCCAGAGCCCATCTTGCAGTGGCCTCCTTTGCATGCTCCCCACACCCTCCCCTGCTTTGACTCATCCCAGCCAGCCTTGCTAAGTTCATATCAGCTGCTCCTCAACTCCCACGTGAGTCACCGCTCGGCAAGCGCACTCCAGCGAGCGCCGACCAAACCCTGGCACCAGTCACGGTCAGCCTGCATCTGCGAGATGACCGGGGAGGGGAAGGGGGGAGGTATGCAGAGGAGATTTAAGCCATTAATCATCTGGCTTAGACCAAAGTCATCCCACTAAAGAAAATCAGCAGGCCCTGACTCCCTCCAATCCTGAGTGTGTCCATCTCGTAAAGCACAGAGATTGCCAAACACTGTCGCCCCTGCAGCATTCTACCGGGGGCCTGGGGGTCTGGGCACCAGCTTCCCAGGCCTTGTCCAGCATGGGAGTCAAAGGGGTGATGTTAGCTTGTGTTAAAGGCAGTGGCTGTGTAACAACAGACTTCTAGTCGTGCTAGCTAACCCATTGCGACAGCCCCTAGTCTAGGCAAGGCCTGACTGTCATTGGGGGGAGAGGGGAGGAGACCGGCCCAGACTGGCCGCCTAGAGCAGTTACTGCTTCAGTTCAAAGCGGGAGCAGTCAGTGGAGCCCTGCATGGTTCAGGGCCCAGTTCTCTCAGACCCATCTGACCCCTTGGTCTTCCTAATGTGGTCCTCTCACTGCTCTGATGGGCAGGGCGATAGTTAACGCTGTTGACATTGTGTCACTGAGCCCCTCAGCCAACGCCGCCTCTGAATGGTCCTGCCCTTTCGTAAAGCACTTGGGGGTCAGCTGATGAACAGCGCCAGGGGAGTGTTCAATACGCTCCTCGTAGGGAGTGGAGGGCAGCTCACGCCTGGTTTCCCACTCTCAGCAGCTTGAGCAGATCCCGTTCCCAAGGTTCCCTTCAGCCGTAAAGGACAAGGAGCTGAGATTCTCAAGAGCAAGACGGCAGCCTCAAAAAGATATGCTGCCTGGCACAACCCTGCCCCACCCCTCCTCCCCCCCAGATTGACCCTGGGCTCCACCCTTCCCTCGGGGACCTCTTCCAGAGCCTTCATAGGCCTCGCCGTTGGGAAATATTTCCAGCCATTGAGCTGAGATTCCCCATTGCAGAATTCCCTTGGCTGATACCCCCTGGCCTAAATAAGGCCTAGCCCAGCTTGGGGTTTGCCCCCCTCCAGTGTTGTCAGGCTGTCCTTGCCCCCATAGCTCTCGCTGCAGCTGTGTCTATAGACGGATCTTCCTGCTGCGCGACGGGACCCCTACATTCGCTTGTTTTGTTGCAGAGCCAGCTCCTTCTTGACATCACGTGCTGCCCCCATCCCCCTGGGTCTCCTCCGCCACGCGGCGGCGTGAGATCGCTTTCCTTCAGCCCTGCCTCAGCGGCGTTTGTCCCACTTGACCCTCGTTTTATTTCCTGCTGAGCGGGGGGGGCCCTGCCAGCCCCTTGGGGCTCCTGGGGTTGCCTGGAGAGGCAGCAAACTGAGCAAGGGACTGTGCACGCCGGGATACGGCGGGAATCGGGGTCTGCACGCAGCGTCTTGCTGCTCTCAGCTCGGCCCTCCACCTCCAATGGCATCAGAGCCGCTGGGTCGGCATCAAGGGGTGTTGCCACCTCCCCGGCGTCATCACCCACCTCGGCAAAGCTTCTCTTCTGAGCGTCTCAGGCCGCCTCCTGAGCTGGGGCGGTGGGGCATCCGTTCAATGGCTCCCTGCCCGTACGTCGGCGCGCTCCAGTGGGTGCAGAGGTGTTTCCTGACTGCAAACAGCATCCTAAGCTAGGATCGTAAGCACACACCCCTTTTCCTAGTGAGAATTGAGGTGGGATGTGACTTGGAAGCGCAATCGCTCTTCCTGATTAACTCCATGTATAGACACTTACTCCGCAGCTCCTTGACTTTAATCCTGCGCTGCAGTGCGTCCCGGTCATGGCCCCTTTCCATCATGGCCCTTGATATCTGCCCGAAGGTATCGTAATTCCTACGGCTGGAGCACAGCTGGGACTGGACAGCTTCCTCCCCCCAAACACTGATGAGGTCCAGCAACTCGCCATTGCTCCATATTGGGGCTCGCTTGGCACGTGGAGACATGGTCACCTGGAAAGATTCGCTGACAGCACTCCACGCCACGCCGGGCTGAGCAAACAGGAAGGGGATTTTAAAATTCCCAGGGAATATAAAGGGCGGGTCTGATGGTTGGTCACTTGAGGCCAGGGCAGTAGAGTTCGAACTGATGACCAGAGTGGCTAGAACAGGCATTGTGGGATACTGCCAAATACTTCTGGAGGCCAGTCACAGCGCATTGGGCGGCCACACTGGCGCCGCAGCGCAGCAGCGACAGCGCAATACTCGCTATTCCTCTCGGGGAGGTCGAGTACCCGCACCGCTGTAGCCGCGGAGCTACATGTGCCTTGCCAGTGTGGACGGGGAGTGAGGTACAGCGCTCTGGGAGGCTTTATTGCGCTGTAACTCACAAGTGTAGCCAAGGCCTGAATCCCCTTGCAGTCCACACCTCGTCGCCATATGTAGACAAGCCCTAAGGCCCTGCTCGGTTATACTGTTAGTAGAGACAGCAGTTAGCAGACGCCTACCCCTGTGGGAAAGCAGAATCTGCAGCAGTCTGTCCCCATGGGAATGGTGGTGCTGTTCCCAATTCACCATCCCGGAGGCCGAGAAGGCGGGCACGGGGTGGGGGGGCGCTTTGTTTCATGTTTGAGAAACAGCAGTGCCAAAGGAGCTAGAATTGCAATCAGGTTAACTCCGCGGCCCGTCTCTCCCGACCCTTCCCGCTTCGAGAGGCCCCTGGAACAAGCACCTGGTTTCATTCATGACATTTTTCTTGCGCTTTCCACAGTGGCTTTTTTCCCTCGACACCGATCTGTTCTTTAGAACAGGATTTACTGTTGTTCTGTCATCGAGCCAGGCAACCTGAAGGCTAAAGAATCCCCCTGGGGAAACACTGCTTGGGCAGGGGGCAGTTGCTTGTAGCAAATCTATTTGAAGTCCACCTCTTTGCTGAACTTGTCCTGGCCTTTAACAGTATCGTTGCAGCCTTGAGCCTCATGGGTCCATACCAGAGTGTGGGGGAGAAGAGAGGTGAGGAGCCAGGAGGGTATCTGTTAAACCAGAAAGAAGCTCAGGCCGGTTTTAGCTGTCTGTAGAGAGACAAAGGCAATACATTCTCCACTCCACAGCTCGGCTCTTTATTGGGAATGCGCTAGCCGGCTTTCTTTTGTACACGCTTTAAACCCCCTGGGTGCTGAGCAAATGTGAGTTAAATGCAATCACCGTGGGTGGAGAGCGCGACCTCCAAACCTAGACAGTGTTTCCAAACCGAAACGCTGATTGCCTGGCTCTCGCAGCTGTCACAAGTTGTGTGGATCAGTTAGGAACGGGGAGAGCAGGTGAGCAGGAGCGCAGCTTGCAGACAGCACCTTATCTGCTTGGAAAATGCGGCTACAGCATGTAGCCGGCTGACCCCCAGGGCCATGTGTGTGGGGACATGCGGTGTAATGAGAAACCTTCTCGCAAAGCCAGCCTGAGCCGCGTTTGTAACCGGTTAGTGGTTTAGTCAGCGGGCGGTATCCTCTGTCTCCACGTCCCCCAGGCCTTGTCTCTGCAGGAATGTTTCCTCAGGCTGTGTTTTCCCGTGGGAAGGACACCAAAAGAGCACAGCCCCCTGGCTCTGGGTCGGCTGAAGCTACTTCCGGTGCGATTCATTGCACCCACGGAGCTCTGCGCTTCTCCTAAATAACTGCACCGCATTCTGGGCAGATATCCCATGAAGCAACACTCTGCGGCTAAACTTGATGCATTCTGGGATTTTTCTTGTAGGGCATTGTGGGATACTTCCCCGAACCGACTGGAATTCTGGGACTTGGGTCAAGCTAAGAAATTCCCATAATGCCTTTCCTGCGTTCCCATCATTCCACTGGCTTTGACATGGCACTGGGGTCATGTCCTGAGAGCTCCTCTTCTTCTGCATTTGGTTGTAGATCTTTACATTTGGGGGACTCCTGTTAAAACAGTACAGGCCGTGCTTTTGTCCAAGGGCAAGGGACTCCAGGACCTCCGGAGGGACCAAGCAGAAGCTTAGGGCTGCTATAATGGTGTCTGATATGTGAATTTGCCATCAGCTGGCACCGCCAAGGGGCATACCTAGGTGTGTGCTAGCATTTAAACGGGGAGGTAACAGCTAGTCAAGAGTAGTAAAAGGCCTGGGCCCGGCCCAGTGTGAAGCAGTGCAGTGTGGGATAGCAGTGGGAGGACTGCCTAGCATGGAACAGTTGATTTGTCCCCACACGAACCTTATCCCTGGATAACTCATTCTGGAGTAGAGTGATGCCGCTTCCAAAGTGGATTAATTCAAGTAGGTTAAGAGGCCAGATACGCTGGGAAAAGAACTTGTGTGTGCGGCCACAAGACAGTTTATACCGAAAAGAACTAAAGTGATACAAGAAACCCACTTTCTAGTGTAGACAAGCCCTTAGACAGGCTGCAACGGTTCTGGGGCCCCGCCCGAGCATCTGGATAAAACCTCCTTGGCCCCCGTGTAACCAGCATGGCTGGTCCTTGCTCCAGCTCCGCGCAGAGTGGGCTGCCCCGAGGCGCTGCTCAGGCCACTCAGCGGCTCTGTCCTCGGGGCACCCGATCCCCTGCTGAGGCAGGGTGGGAGAGCGGCCCGGATTTTCCCAGCATGCACCAATGCAGGTAGGCAAGATGTGGGTGTGGCCATGTAAACCCAGCTCCCTGATGCTAGTGGGGCAGCGGGGCTGCTCCTCATGGCGTCTGCTGGAACCAGGTCCCCGAGAATGTGGCGCCCCGGCCGGACGCGGGGCGGGTCCTTGCAGGGGACTGGTCTGCGCTGGGGATTGCTGCTGAGTCTGAACGCAGTGGCCAGCAATGGTGTTGGCTGCCGGGACGCCGAGCATGGTTCGGATACCAGCCTAGAGCAGGGCACGCCACGGCCAGCCTCCTACCAGCGAACTGGCGTTCGAGCCCCAAGCTGAGGCTTTACATGTGGCTGGCCAGCACCATGCAAGACGGGCCTCTCCCCGTCTCCTCCGTGCTCCGCGTCACGCCTGTTCCGACGACGCTTGACAGCCACACGGTGCAACCCAGGCCCCGGAAGTACAGGAGGTTGGTGAGCAGGAACGGGCGTATGGACACGGGGCTCCTGTCCCAAGCAGCAGCATTTCTACCATCCACCTCAGGAGGCCGATGCCCTGGGAGGGAGGCTCTGTGGGCCCTGCCCCCGTCCCCAGCGCTGCTAGATGCACACGGGTCCCGCACTGCTGCAGGGAACTGCTCCCACCCCCAGCTTGTGCTGCCTCTGTCAGTGGAGACTCGAGGGAGGAGAGGATCTAAGAGCTTCATGCCTGGAACGTGCCGTCCGTGCCCAGAGCTCCAAGCCTAGTGCTGCCACGGGACGGGGAGACTGGGCAGAGCAGAGAACCCACTTCCCGTTGATTGGCGGGCCAAGGGCCCTTCCTTCGGAGCCGGCTTCCCCTTGGGACTGGCTCGGATTCAGCAACAGAACGGCGCTGGGTACGTCTACACGGTGCTAAAACCCCCCGGCACCGAGTGGCAGAGCCCGGGTCAGCTGACTCAGGCTCCGGCTGTGGGGCTAAGCATTCCAGTGTAGACGTTCTGGCTCGGGTTGGAGACCTGCCCCCACGCCAACGTCTACGCTGCAGTCTTAGAGCCCAGGCCGAGCTGAGCCAGACGATCCGGGCCAGCCGTGCCCATACCGGTGGGTCTGTCCTGCGCCTGCCTGTGGTGTCTGCGAGGCAGCGGGGTGGCCATGGGGCGGCTGTCAGAGTATTTCCCGAGAAGGCCGAGCTTGGCTCCCTTGCCATGTCCTCGGCCGCGTTTTCAGCCCTGCTTTCCTGACTTTTCAAGGCCGTCTGTCTCTGCCTAGGGAAACGCGGCCAAGCCCGATTCTTCCAGCTCCCCAGAACTGCCAGCTCTGAACGGCAGCACCTTTGCCCTTGTCTGTCGGCTGGGCCGGTGGGACTGGGAAATGAAGGGAGGGAGGGAGTCGTCTGCACCACAGGGATCCGTGAGGGGCAACGTCATGGAGTGCCGAGGCGTGGCAGGACGTAAGAACGGCCACACGGGGGCAGCCCAATGGTCCAGCCAGCCCGTGGCCTGTCTTCCGACAGTGGCCGGTGCCGGGTGCTTCAGAGGGGCTGAACAGAACGGGACAATTATCAAGGGATCTGTCCCCTGTTGTTCACTCCCAGCTTCCGGCAGTCAGAGGTTTAGGGATACCCGGAGCAGGGGGTTGCCTCCCTGCCCATCTTGGCTAATAGCCATTGGTGGACCTTCCCTCCATGAATTACCTAATTCCCGTCAGTGGCAGAGACAGGGCTAGAACCAGACAGACCCCGCCAGGCCCATCCCTCCGATCGCTCTGGCTTGGCTTTGCCCGTGTCCACACTAAAGATCCGCGTGGCCGTCACTTCGCCCATCGCTGGGGTGGAGCGAGGGCGCAGGCACCAATGACGCTGGCTCAGGAGAGGATCCAGTTGCCAGTCAGCCCGACGGGGGATTTCGGGACTGGAAGGAGCTGGGCAGGGTTGGAATTTGGGCAGTAACAGGGTCTGCGATTTACTCACAAGTTTCTTTTGTGATTGCAAAGCCGCCTCCTTCGTTTGCAAGTTAAATAGCTCAGCCCTCTTATCAGAGGGGCCAAAGCGTTTACTGCTCCTCCCAAGGGGTTATTGAGCCAGTGTGCTCAGAGCAGGCCTGGATCTCTCACCCTGCACCGCCCCACGCAAACGCCTTGTCCTGCGGGGCGGTCTCGAATCTCAAGCAATGGCTTTGCCCTTTCGATGGTGACACCGTGATCTCCAGGGTAAGACGTGCGCCGTGGGGGTTGATAACAGAAAGCTTGGCTGGGGTCTTTGCAATGGCCGGAGTGGACAGCCGTTAGAGTGGCCAGCGCTTGGCTTTTCTGCCAGGTGGAAGGGGGAGCAGAGCCATCAGGCCAGCTCCCCCGCTGCTGTCCCTCCCGGGAGATTGTTTCCTTGAATGTGATCAACGCTTCTTTCGCCCTCTGCTGCAGGACTTTACCACCCCGACGCATTGGGCAATGTGCCAGACGGTCCAAAGGTGAAAGGAAGCGTCTATAAAGAGACAGCTCCTTCTCCTTGAGAGAGACGGCAGAGTTTGCGTAGGGATTCCCCCGGCAGCTGCAGAATGAGCTCGCGGCCACACCTGGCCACCGCCGGCATCTGTGTCTACCTCTGCCTTGCCGCTGGCCTCGCTGCTGCGCCTGCCTCTTTAGGTGAGAAGCAAACTTTCCGCCTGGCCTGAAAGGCTGATTTGTACGGCGAGGGAGGGAGCTTTTTCAGCTGGAAACCTCTGCTGCTTTGTCGGATGGGTGGGTGTCTTGTCAGACTGGATTGGTCCTAAAGCAGCCTGCTAAAGGTAGGGGTGAGTCGAGCTACAGATCCGCTGTCCTGGCCAACGTTTGAAAGAGGGGGAAGCGTCGCCTTGGGAGAGGGGTTTGTCTTTTGGAAGGGGGAGTCCGTGGGGCAGATTTGCTCTCCCTGGGCTAGAGCTGGGGGCACCCACTGCCAACACCTTGTGCCTTGGTGACTGAGTGCCCGGACGCCAGCAGCAAAGCCAGGACGGCACGCCACAAACTGCTGCTGCTTCGCTGCCCGGGCACTGAAATCCTCCTGGTAAAGACAGAACGATGTAGAGGCAGAGCTCGCTGGGGCTGGTGGTGCATCCGAACAGTGCATGGGCGGGTGGGGATCCCTCGTTCCCGAGTTTGATGTAGTAGCAATAGAGTTGACTGGTAAACACAACGGAGACAAGGCCTGGCTTGACAAAGCCCTGGCTGGGATGATTTCGTTGGGATTGGTCCTGCTTGGAGCAAGGGGTTGGACTAGAACCTCCTGAGGTCCCTTCCAACCCTGATAGTTTATGATCTATTAAGCCCATCTGGCCATTCTACAGTACTCTCCAGCATGCTGAGGGGTCTAGCTGCAAATTCTTTCCTTGTTTGCCCTGCTGTGGTAGCCGGGTTGGTCCCAGGATATGAGAGAGACAAGGTGGGGCGGGGGGGGGGGAATCTCTTTTATTGGCCCTTCTGCTGGGGGAAGGGACCAGCTTTCTTGCATTGAGCTGAAGAAGTCATCTGGGGAGCTCGAAAGCTGGTGCCTTCCCCCAACAGAAGATGGGCCAATAAAAGAGACAGACACACACACACACTCACACCTCTCTCTTGTAATTCTCTCCTTGGTAGAGACGGAGAAACAGCTCCTGCTTTCTGGGCAGGTTCTGGAGGTGAACAGCGTGGAAGGGGTTAGTTGAGTCCGTCAATAGCTATTTGCTTGTTACGGAATCTAACAGGTCACCGGGGTTGTTCGCAGCCATCAACAAACAGCAGCTTCCTCTGCTGGTTGTGTGACACCCGCTGTCCTTTCCTGGAACATCCGTCAATCCTTTCGGGGCCTTCACGTGCTATTGAAGTATGGGGCTTTCCTGGAGCGTGTGCCATGGGAAAGCAGGTCCCGTCCCACCGCTTGTCGGGTTGTCCGGAGGCAGGCAAGACCCTTGTCTGGAGCAGCAGGGCTGTCTTTGGGCGTTTACCCGCCGGGCTGTTAAGATCGGGGTTTTGAATCACTTGGCTCGTGCCATCTTCGGAGGAGGGGGCTTTCCAATAACGGGTCTCCAACGCCCCCTGCTCTCTGGAGCCCGCTGCCACCTTAGTCCAGCTCAAACTCCCCTGCCCCCGCCCCTTCTGGCAACAGAAATTACTGCACAACCCCAGTGCGGGGACTGGGTCCTGAGCCTGCCTGAGCCCCCTGCCCGGGCGGTGGGGCTCTGAATTTGGCCCTGGGTCCCAGCAAGTCAAAGCCAGCCCTGGCGACCCCATTGAAATGGGGTCATGACCCACTTTGGGGTCCCGAACCACAGTCTGAGAACCGCTGTGCGTGGCGGGGCAGCCAGCCAGCGCGGACGCTGGTCCCGCCCCCAGGTCAGTGCGGCGCCAGGAATCCGCAGGGGAGGGGAGACGACTGTCTAGAGAGTTGCTGGGCGCCTGTCTTGCGCTGAAAGCCTGTTGGGATGTGTCTGGGATGGGCCGGCGCAGGTGGGGCTGAACGGGGCTCCAGACTGTTCCCCCAAACAGTGCAATGGGCCGTGCTCCCCCACCCCGCCCCGGCAGCTGGTCACACCCACCAGTGGGGGGTAGGGGAGCACTGGAGGGCAGGGCAGGGCTAGCCACGGAGCTGCCGTGGAGGTGCCTTGGGGCAGAGACTCCTGCCCTAGGACAGGGTTTTAAAAAGCACCTCAGAGAGCTGGGGGTGCAGGGCCTGTTGACAGCGAATGAGATTGGGCCTAGTGACTAGGGCTCTGGACTGGGAGGTAGGAGACCTGACTCGACCACTGGGCTGCCAGGTGACCTTGGGCAAGTCGCTGCCCCATTCTGTGCCTCAGTTTCCCCATTGTACAGGGATCATCCTTTGGGAATTGTGCCCCTGGTCAGTGTCCCCACATGGGTTGTAGGCCAGAGTGGCTGGGCAGGGTGATGGGGTCCGGCTGGGGGTTCAGTTCCGCCCCTCACATGTAGCTGCTTTGCAGGGAGGTGAAAGGCCTTTCTCTGAGCCCTCCCCTGACCCCCTCCAGCACAGCTCTCCCGCTGCCCTGGCACGGTCCCCTCGGGGGGAGCTCTGTTCTCAGGTGATCACCCTGATATGCACCGGGGTCCCCACGCCCCCTTGGCTGGTGCCACACGGAGGCTGCTGTCTGTTGGTCGCTGAGGTGGGGGGGCCGGCGGGCAGCGGGTGTGGGCATGCACTGGAGCTCTTGGAAGTGCTGGACTGGGCAAGAGACAGGAGGCGGGCGGCTCCGGGTTTGGGAAGAGGGCGGGGGGACCTAGCGGGTCTTATTTGATGAACCCGGAGCGAGGAGGGGTCGCTCTGCAGATCCCCTCCCCCCCGGGTCGGTGTCTCTCCTGAGCGCCGGGCAGCAGCCCGGACGCTACCTGCCTCTGTGGGTGAGCCACAGGCTGCTCTTGTGGGGGAATCTCACAAGTCCTGGGTGCTTCTCACAGCTGACCAGGTGCCCACTCCGGTTCAGGCCTCCTGAGCTTTGCCCTCACCGTGCTCGCCAGCAGGGGGCAGCGTGGAGCCCACACCCGTCCCAGGCTCTGCAGGGAGAAGGCAGAGGAGGCCTCGCATTGCACAGGATGGGAGGCAGGGTGATGTGGCATGGGCACGTACAGCCGGTGAGCGTCATCCCAGCCCCTCAACCCCACCCCCTCCACTCCAGCAGCTTTTCTCCCCCGGCCCAGCGCATAGTGTCTCATTCATCACCGGCCGAATGATCCAGCGGCTGCAGGGAGCCGCAGGTCGTGTGGCCAGCATCCGTCTGTGTTACGCCCCAATCTGTCTTTCCCGCTGCAGCCGGGCTGCTGAAATGCTGCAGGGACGGGCGCTGGGGAATTGAAAACCCGGGGCTGGGGAACGGGAGGGGAGGGGAGTTGCCAGGGCAGATTATTTAAGGCTCTCGGGAGATGCTGGGCCAGATTCTCCACTGGCGTAAACTGGCGTGGCTCCAGGAGGTGTGTGACAGTTGGCATCAGCCAGGAATTTGGCCCAGTGAAAAGCCCCAAATTAGGGGGGGGGGGAAAAAAGAGAGAGACAAACAGTTTATGTAGGGCCTAGACAAAATCAAATTCATGTGCTCTCTGGCTCCCCCTGCAGGCTGTGTTGATTAACGCAACCACCTGTGCTGGTGCGTAAGGCTGGGGTTGTCCATTGTTTAACTGAGAGGGAGCAGTACATCGCGCTGGCACTTGAGCCTCATCTAGAGGTGGAGACGAGGGCCCCCATGGCGAGGGGGTGGGGGCGTAATCCCCCCCTCGTACTGTGCGAGCCGGCCCCTCGGCTGAGCCCCACATGGTGGAAAACGGTGCCGGAGGCTGGCCTGATCAAAGCCCCGTTGGCAGCATTTGCTCTTTAAATCTCCCCACGGGAACCTGCCTGTAAAATCCTGCCCCTGCTGTGGGTCATGCCACCCGCAGGGCAGCCCCAAACGGGGAGGAAGCACCGAATTCCCAGCCCCACTCTGGGTGATTCCGAGCACCAAGGGGGTCAACGTTCAAGGAAACCTGGCACAGCTCGTGCTCTAGGGGGCGCTGTTTGACCTGTTTTGCCCTGATTCTTTAATGGCACAAGGAGCCCTGGGTGGGGCTGGAAGACGCAGGATCTGGGCGTTTCCCTGCGTTCCAGCTCCCAGGAGGTAGAAACATTGCGGGGGACCAGATCTCCCATCATTTCAGCGCCGCGGACGACGCCCTGTGCCCAAATCTCATGCAAAACCCCCAGTAAACTCGTGTGCCTGGGCACCGCTGCGCCCTCTGCTGGATGGAACCAGAACTGCTCAGCTGTGCGACATAGACCCCGTACTGCAAGCAGCTCAGGTTGATTCTCCGCTGGCCGGAGCAGTCTCCCCCAGGAAGGCGCAAGTGGCCCTGGTGTGAAGCAGGGTGACAGTGATGGGTGGGCTGTGCTGCCGATCCAGACCCTGAGCAAGGGGTTCCCGGGGCTTGGGTTGCTGTAGGAGGCGGCTGTGGGCACATGGCCTGTCTCCAGGGGGTGCCGGTTAACTGCCAGGAGCAGGACTGTGCTGGAGGGGTGGGGGAGCGCTTCCCAGCAGCTAGACGCCGGCTTAGCAGGATCAGTGGCTAAAATCCTCATCCGTCTCGGGAAGACCTGGAGCTGTCTGTGCTGGGGGACATTGCCCGGACTCCCACCCCCATGGGAAGGCCCCCCCATTCTGAAGCAGGCTGCGTCGGTCACGCTGGCTGCTGTCCGCTCTCCCAGCCCGGATGGGGCGTGCCGTGGCTCGGCTGAGCAGGGTGATGTGGCAGGTGCCCGCTCACCTGCAGCTCACCCGCCCCCTGCTCTGGGTAGGAGGGCACGCTGTGTCCAGGCCCTGACCCCCGCGCCCTCCCTGCCTTTCAGAGGACGAGAAGGCCCCCGCCTACTGGAATGAGAGAGCCAGGAGGACACTGGAGTCGGCGCTGACCCTGGCACCCGTGACCCGCCGTGCCAAGAACATGATTCTCTTCCTGGGCGACGGTGAGTGCAGTGCCCACCTGCTGGCACTGGGTCCCTCCCGCTTCTAATCTGCCTTTGCCCACCAAGCCTAGCCTGGTGCCCCCCGGGGCCGGGTACCCGGCCACCCCCAGCCCGGGGCTCCCTGAGGGAGCAGGGGGTCTCTGTTTCCAGCCACTCGCTGGCCCTCGCAGAGTTTGGTTTGCAGCAGGAACCTGCCCCCCGCGCTGGGCATGGGGCAGCGTTAGCCAGCAGGGCGCGGGTGCCCGGGGAAGGGCCCTGGGGTGAATGCTCCAGGCTCAGCCTGGTCGCTCTTCCCTGCCGGCTGGTAGCTGAGGGAGCAGCGATTGCGGCTTCTCTGCCCCTAGATGGCAGCAAGGCCTGGCCGGGAGGGCTCCTCTCCCCATGGCGCATCCGGCCAGGGGCCCCACCCTGTGCCTCAGTGTCCCCAGTAGCGGCCTAGGGATAGCGCTGCCCTAGACAGCGGCTGGGGAGGGTGCAGGTCGCCGGGCATGGCCGTGGCCGGCTGTTTGGAGGGGCTGGGTGCCTGCCGTGGCCACGCGGCTCTCCCCAGGAAGAGGGGGGGCTGGCTCGGGGCAGGGGGGAGGAGGCAGTGACCAGAATCCTGCCAACTCAGGGAGATCCTTCCTGGAGTGAGGGATTGGGGGGCTGCTCCTGTCCTAGCCCCCGGCGGGGACCCCCACCATCGCAACTGTAGGACCCCCCCCAGTTGTCGTCTTTCCTCCTCCCCCCCAACCATGCTCCGTAGCTACTTCAAAGGGCTCTGCCCTCTCCTCCCCTGTTCAGTCCTGCTCTGCCCTCCCCCCCTTGAATCCTGCCGTGCTCTGCCCTCCCCCACCCCGCTTCAGTCCCACTGTACCATCCCTTCCCCCTCCCCCCCCCCTTCAGCCCTGCCCTGCTCTGCCCTCCCCTCCTCTGACCTCGGCTGCTCCCTCCCTGGGCACTGCTTGATGCCCCGTGGCCCACCTGCATTTCTGCAAAACGAGCCCTGGCTGCCGGAGGGGAGGGGTGTGGGCCTGGCTAATGTGGCCGGGGAAGCTCGTATCTCCAGGCGGGGGCTGCCTGGGCAAGGGCTGTGTCAGGGGAATGCGGGGGCTCTGTGCGGTAGCCCCCGGCCTGCACGGAGAGCGCTGCCTCACCCGCTCCAGGCCCAGTGCCCGCTGGCCCCGTGACCTGCCCAGAGGAGAGGGATCCTCGCACGGGGATGGGGTCTGCTGGGCATCTCCCCCCTGCTTTCACTAGTGGGAACAGTGGCTCCCACCAGCCCCAGAGGCAGCTCAGCGGCGCCCCCCGCTGGCCGATCCAGGAGCAGCAGGGACTGGCTCCGGGCTGCGGCCCATTGACTGCCCCCCGTCAGCCCCCGAGGCTGCAGTGCTAATGCTGGGCTGGTGCTGGGCTTGCAGGCATGGGGATCTCCACCATCTCCGCCGCTCGGATCTACAAGGGGCAGCTGGAGGGAGAGCCCGGCGAGGACAGCCGGCTGGCAATGGAGACCTTCCCCTATGTCGCCCTCGCCAAGGTGAGTGCCCGGCCCCAGGAAGGACGGGGCAGAGAGCAGCGGACTCTGGAGCTGGCCCTCAGCAGAGCCCTGGGGCGACATCAGGCCAAGCCTAGCCCTCTGCCCACCGGGCACCGCTCTGCCCACAGGACTCATGGCTTGGCTCTAGAAGCCCGGGGCCCCCATCTGCCCCACTCTCTGGGAGCCGGCCCATCAGCAAGGGGAAAGTCGCCACGCGGCCGTCGGCCCTCCCTGCCCTGGGCAGCTGGCGCGAGGTAGGGTGCCCCAGCGCGGGCCAGGGAGGAGGCCGGGGAGGGAGGGTCTAGGGAAGCGCGGTACGGATGAGAGCAGAGCAGGGGGTTGGCAGGGCTGGGGCGAGCGGGGGGTTGGCCTGTGATGCGGGGAGAGTCGGGAGCAGGAGGTGACTTCGGACCCAGACTGCGGGGGTGGAGCTGGCCTGGGGTCACTCCCATGTACTGTGCCCTGCACCCACAGGCTGGGTTCCCCTGTGTGGTGGGAGCTCGCAGATGGGCCATGGGCCTCCCCGCTGGGGGTCTGCGTAGCAGCCGGGAGGAGCCCTGCAGGAGTGGGAGGGTCCCAAATCCTCTGGATATCTGGCTCCACCGTTCAGTCCTCCCGCCGGGTGAGACGCCCCCAGCTGCCCGGGAACGCTCCCGGGGCAAGGGATGTGCCAGCCGCCCCCAGCGCCTGTTCCCGCCCCCTTGCTGTCTTGCAGACGTACAACGTGGACCGGCAGGTGCCCGACAGCGCGGGCACCGGCACCGCCTACCTGTGCGGGGTGAAGGCCAACGCCAAAACCCTGGGGGTGAGTGCCGCCGCCGTCTACGGCAAATGCAACACCACGTGGGGCAACGAGGTCCACTCCGTCCTGCACCAGGCCAAGCAGTCGGGTAAGAGAGCACCAGGGAGGGTGCCCGTACCATGGGCAGTGCCAGGGAGCTGCCCTGCCAGCACAGGTAGTGCCGCCTGGGCTCTCTCTGACCCAGCCCAGCTTGGGGCACCTTTTGCCCTCCCTGTCTGTGCCCCCTCTCCCGTAGCCATTGGCACGACAGAGCCAGGACTTGCTGGCACCAGCCTGGGCACTGATCACCACCTTCCGCTGCGTGCGGAGGCTGCCCAGCAGAGACCGGCAGTAACCCGCCCTCCCCTCTGGTGTGGCAGGCAAGTCGGTGGGCATCGTGACGACCACCCGCGTGCAGCACGCCTCGCCGGGCGCGTCCTATGCCCACGTGGTCAACCGGGAGTGGTACAGCGACGCCGACCTGCCCAAGGAGGCCATCAGGCAGGGCTGCAAAGACATCGCGTACCAGCTGGTGCACAACACAGACATCAACGTGAGCCGCCGGGGGCAAGGGGCCGTGGTGTTGGGGGGCGAAGGGCCCGGGGCATGGAGCGGGCACCTCCCGGCCCTGCAAGGCCAGCTGGGGCCCAGCCCCCACCAAACCACTTGGGGGCAGGGGCTGCCTGCCACATGGCCGGGGGTAGGGGGAGACCTCTCCAGCAAGCACAGATCTTGTGGCATCCCTGTGACGTCCTGGCACGCCGCGGTGTCCGACCCTGCCCGGCTGGGCTGAGCTGCACCCGGGTGTTGAGCTCACACCCCAGCAGGCCGGGACGGTTCAGCCCTCGCGTCTGGTTGTTCATCCCAACGACACAATATTGGCTCTGCTGGCTGCCCCTGAGCCCCGCCCCCCGGCAGGGCTCTGCCCCCTTCCCCAGAGCCTGGCCCCCCGGGGGAGGGGGTGCAGTTATGGGGCCCTGCTTTCCTGCCGGGGGGGGCCTATATCCCACCAGTGGTTTGTCATGAGAGCCTGGATGGGGCTTCCCTGCCCAGCAGGTCCCTGCACTCCCCATGTCGGCCAGAGGGGGCGCTGCCGTGGTGCGGCTGGCTCCCAGCCAGGGCTCTGGTCCGGCCCATGGGGGTGTCGGGGTGCGCTGGGTTCTGGTGCCGCTGACGGCTGGGCTTCCCCCCCCCGGTCTGCAGGTGATTCTGGGCGGTGGGAGGATGTACATGACTCCCCGGAAGACCCCGGACCCCGAGTACCCGACGGACCCAAAGCAGAGCGGGACGAGGAAGGATGGACTTGACCTGGTGGAGAGGTGGCTCAGTGCCAAGGAGGTACCAGCTCTGCCCATGCCCCCAAGCAGAGGGGCAGGGATGGGGGGTGGCCCCGAACGCACCCGGCTGGATCGCCTATGGGACAGTCACACGCTGTGTGCTCCCACGGGCATGCATGTGAACGACATGCTGTGTGGGTGTGGGTGTGGGTGTGCCTGTGACACGCTCCGGCGGGGAGCCCGTACGTGGGGCAGAGATGCACTGGGCGTGGCCTGGCATGGCTGCTCCGGGTGTGCCCCTCGGGCGACTGCCTGAGCCGTGTCTGTTCTGGTGGCAGGGGGCGCGGTACGTCTGGAACAAGGAAGGCCTGGACGCCGTTGATGAGAACTCCACCGACTACCTCCTGGGTAAGGGTGCCGGCCGGGCCGGGGCTGCCCGTGCTCCTTGGCTGGCCGCGGCGGATAGTGCCGCCCCCTCGCTGCCCGCGCTGTGCCGTTAGCCGGGCTTGTCCGTACGGCAACGTGGGGGAACAAACCCCGGCTGAGCAGGGCACCCCGGGGCTCGGTCCCCCACTGCAGGGAGCTCCCTGGCCCGAGCAGCAGCCCCGCTGCGGGCAGGAGGGGGCTGGCGTCCGAGGTCCGTTGGGGACCATCTCATGTAAATTTGCTGCATTCGGGGATCCGCTCGGCCTCTGTGTGGGGCTGGTCCTCAGAGCCGCATGCACCCCACTGCTGGTCCAGGGGCACAGAGCGGGCCAGCCCCTTGGCACTGCCAGCCCCGGCCAGGCTGGGATGCTAGAGAGAGAACGAGCCCCCAGACGGGCAGGGGGCCGGACTGGTCACAGCTGTCCCAGGGGCTGGGCGGGTGTCAGGCCCGTGTGAATAGTATCTTTCTCCGAGGGCCGGTCCCCCCGCAGCCCCGGTACCGGACAGGCCGGGCCCCCGGGCAGCACTCCAAGGCCCTGACGTTGGTGGCTCATCCCGGCAGGTCTCTTTGAGCCCAAGGACATGAAGTACGAGCTGAACCGCGACACCAGCACGGACCCCTCCATCGTGGAGATGATGGAGAAAGCCATCCGTATCCTGCGCAGGAATCCCCGCGGCTTCTTCCTCTTTGTGGAAGATAAGTTGCCCCGTGGAGCCGGCCCGGCCCAGCCCCTCTCCCCCAGCCTGGCCCCTCCCGCCAGCCGAGAGCGCAGGGACCCCCTCTCGCCCCCGGGCCCAGCCCCACCTGCCGGCCGAGAGCGCGCCCCCCCCCCCCAGCCCAGCCCCTCCCGCCGGCCGTGCGTTCTGCTGGGGAACGGGGGGGTCGGCAGCGCGCCGGGGGCGAATTACAAGCCATCCTGTGATTAGGATTGCCAACTTTCTGATTGCAGAAAATCCAACACTAGAGTTACCATATTTTGAGTGTCCAGAAAGAGGACACTCCACGGGGCCCCAGCCCCGCCCCCCGCCCCGCCCCTGCCCCAACTCCACCCCTTCTCCAAAGTCTCCGCCCCCTCCCCTGCTTCCCAC